TCAAATCCTACAAATTTAAGTTTAATTTATATTTTATATATAAATTTAACTAATTATATATTTATAATTATACCTTTGAAAAGTCAAATTCTTCTATCTGTTTTCGCATTTCAGCAATTTTATTAGCGCATGTTGTATTTCTTTCATTAATTTTTGCAATATTGCATTTATGTTTATCCTCTCATTGTTTCTATATTTTTTCAATATTAATCTGATCTTGTTCAGAAAATTCTATGAAGTTTCCTGCTCGTCTAATAGTATTTAATATTTCTAAAAGACCATCATTATTATGCAAAATTGCAAATACATGTTATACTGAAAAAGATTTGCTAAAATCTACTTTTTTATCAGCATAATTTAGTTTAATACGATTAAATGATTCATTCATATTAGTTCGAATAGTGGTTATTAGACTTTGTTTTGGGAGAAGTTTGGTATTTTTTTTAAAAATTCTTTAAAATCGTTTACTTGATTTTGAGTATATTCAACTAAATTCAGATTAACCAATTGAATTTCTGGATTTTTAACTTTCCAGCAAATTTCAGGCCAACAATTTTGGTGTTTATCAGAAAGATGATCTGCACATATTTCGTTTTGCATTAAATACAAATCATTATCAGTTGGAGATTCAATATCAGGATTTTGTGATCTTGCAACAGCAGCATAGACACTTTTAGTATAAAAATCTATTATTGGTTGTTCAAATCATTTTTATCTTTTTTCATTAACTAATATTAAGATAAGTTAATAATTTAATTATTTAATTAGCAATACTAAATATATAATTATATTAATTACCTATTTTATTTTTTAAAATTTTTGATTTATATTTTAAATCTGCAAAAAATTTATGAATTACTTTCTCTCCAGCAAGTGTTTTATTAGTACTTAAATCACTATCAACAGCAATATCTAATAAAATATTATATTCACAAAGAGTAGGTGTAATTTTACTAATTATATTTATAAGATTTGCATGTTCCATTTGTTGGCTACTACTATCATGATTGCCTGCATTAATAACTACTTTTTTTTCATTTTTATTATTATAAATTCAGGGGTTTTCTACTACACTAAATCCAATAATCGGTTTGTGTTAAAATCCTAATTACAAAAATTAAATTATTTTATTTTTATATAATTTAAAATTAAAATTTTAAAATTATAAAATTACCTTCAGGTATTCTGTTATAAATAAATTCAGTACTTGCCTGAGGAGCTTCTCGAACTTTACTTTATGAACAATCAAATCCTACTTCTAAAATTTCATTTTTTTTTGAAATAACTTCCTTACAAGCTATATTTAATGTATTATTTGTACTAGCTTCAGCTATATTTTTAATTTCATTAAAAAATTTTTCTTGATTTTGAAAATATTGAGATTTTCTACTTTGGCATATTATTCCACACAAGCATAGTATAGTTGACTATTCTTCATGATTAACTCCACCAGCTAATCCTGCAGCAGCTATAATATCTGAAAAGTTTACACCCAGAATTTTATTTTCATAAAATAATTTTGTTTAACAACAATAACAGGTAACAATAATTTTTATAGATAATCCGCTCACTCTTATTTTAAAGTCTTTTTTTTTTATATTTTCATTTTTACAATTAGAATATTTTTGATTTAATATATATGTAAGAAATAATTTAGTACTTATAAAAATACTTGATCCTAATTTTCCTTTAGTAATAAGATATTGTATTAATTCTTTTAAAGTTTTTGTTATTTCTTCCGATTCATTATCACTATTAGAATAAATTTCTTTATCACTAATAAAATAAATAATAATTAAAATATTTATAATACAGTATAAATATTTTTAATTACTTGTACTTTGATGAATTAGATTCATTTTCTAATAGTTCTTGCAATATTAAAATTTTTGCTTGTACCTGGGATAACTTTTTATGTGTATTTTGTAAATTTGAAGTAATACTTTTTAATTTTTGACCAAGTTGTTGTACAATTGATTGCGCAGTTTTCCAGCCTTTAGATTCAAGAAGCATTGCTTTTTTTTTTAATGATTTATTATTAGATTTGGCTAATCATTTTCCTAAATTTATAGTATGTAATGTTTTTTTTTCTTCTAGATAAAATTGTTTTTCTTTATCAAAAATATGTAAAAAATAACTTCTAATAAAACCCTGTAACCATTGAACATTTTCAGTATTTGTAAATCCTAATTAAAATGGTAATGATATTTGTCCTTTGTATTGTAAATTTTGTGAATTATTAATATAAGATAAAAGAGAATTCTGATTTTCAAAT